GCTGCGGGTCCCCGGGGCGGCCGGTTGGAGTTTCTTCCCCGTTGGCCGTTGAATTGGGACCGCTCTTATCGCGACAGAAAACTCACCGAGGAGCTGCGTCCCAGCTCCTCACCTCCCGTGCGGCCTTAGGGCTGGCGGCAGCGGGGCCGTCGGAGACATTCAGAACGGTGACACCGGGTAAGTGTGGGTTTCAGTGCCGAGGGTGACATCTGGAAATAAGAAAACCGAGTGAACAAGGCCGTGGTTGGGTATATGTTATCTTTGTAGAGCACTCCACTATAATTCTGCATGGTACTCAAAACAGAATAAAAGCATTCCCCCATAAGAACTCATTAATATATAGAGGTGCCCTTTCTGAGAAAACACTTATGCACTGATTTATTTTGAACTTCAGGATTACTAGCTAAAGCATTTCCATTTACAGTGTAAATTTTCATTCTTCAGTCAGGGAAGATCTTTCTTTCAATGCTGTCTGAACCCAAACTGCTAAATGCAGGCTGGATCTTTAAGTCACCGCCTCATTTGTGGCATCCTTGTTTGTGTCTGTACAATTCCGCTGAAAACACTGCTTCAATGTTTTCTTAGAAATTTGGATTGGCTAAAAGCGACGCTGCGTGCAGTTCTCATCATCGCTGTGATGAAGAGTCCCCGTGAGTCAGAGCTGCTGGCACACACACGCAGTGGGACTGCCGCTCTGCCTCGGCGGCTTTGGCTTATTCTTTAACATGCCTTAAGCAATGAAATATTTTGTTTACGAAATAGGCTTACACGCATCACTAACCAAATCTCTACTTCTCTGCTAATGGAGCAGCATGTTGTAATAAGTCTTGGGTAGGGCATCACTTTGCTATTAATTTCAGTGGGAGCAGAAATACAAACACAAAATCCACATTCCCTGAGAGAACACGTATGGGGATTGTGGGGCTGGTTTTGTATTTGAGTTCATGAGAGTTGTTTGTCTCCCTGGGTAGGAACGAGGTCAGGACCAGGACGAGCACAGAACTATTTTGTGCTACAGCAAACCTAAATGATGTTTAAGACATCTCAGTTTATCTGAAGGCTCCTTCTGTCGAGGTTAAGTGAACTTGATTTCATAGGGAAGGATGCTAGATGTGTTCTTCTGCTTTATCAGTGGTCACCACACAGAACTGGCCTTTGGCCAATGCTTAGCGCATTTCTTTGAGGAGTCCTACTATCATTACCACCTACTCTGCTAGAAACATGTTAATGATGTTGAATTAGGGTAGGTGAAGACTGATGTCATTTCAAACACTGTGTTAATTAGATCTCCACTGAAATTACCAGACTAAAGTTTTGGTTGGTTTCTTTGTTTTTTAATATAGCAACATTCTATAGTGCTTAACTACCAACAGAGATTAAGCAGTATGTGTAACGATGGGAGAACTTAAAACTAAATGAATAATGTAGACAAGTCCCTTAGAGGGGAACCCATATCTCAGCTGAGTTTCTGATAGTCCATTAGGGTTATAACCCCATGAACCTCAACTGTGTCAAACTTTCACAGATTTCTTACAGCGCATTCATTGTTGGCACAGTATTGTCTACATGCCATAAAAAAACCACCCCCGTAATTTATATTCCTCACAAAGCAAGCCACAGTTACATTATTTTTCTGTCAGCCTTTCAGCAAACGGTACCGAAAACGACACCACACAAAGCTGAACGGGGGTAGGGGCGGGAAGGCGCCGTGGGGCAGCGCAGGCCTCCACACACG